TGCAAGACACCCCAGTGGGTTGATGATTTTTTCTTTCGGGGATTCTGCTACCTTTATATATTGGGGACTATCCATGAACTGGGCATCCGGTTCCGGAAACGTGTGGAAGGACAGAGGGTTTAGCAGCCACAATTGGATGGTTTAATCCTAAAAAGTGACCAACCTTTCTGACTGTGATGGTACTTTGTCCTTGATCTGGCTCTGTCCATTTGGGTTAAGTCATATGAGGTTGAATGTGCCACTGGTGCCCATGTGGTTGATCATGATTTTCCCGAGTGAAAATGGCACTTTTGAGGAAAAAAACTGATTCTTGGACAGACATCGCCTTTGGTGTTCGTGTTCTTCAACATCACCTTTGATGCCACAGTGAAGCCACAGTGTGCTTCTTTGTTCTGGTCCATCCCTGTAGGATCTTGATGCCCATTGGCAATGTCGCCCTTATCGGCTTTATCCTCCAGTGATCATATATGGCAAGGGAATTTGTAGATCGTTTTCATACCACAAAAATAACATGAGAATCCACTGATTCGTGATTTTTTTTCCTAAGAAAAATCCCATTTGCAGACACATCCCAATTGGATATGATATATATATATATATATAGTTGGTTAATGTTGGTTACTAATATGCCATTGACCCATTGTATACCCAGTAATATCCCATGAAATACACATTTGGTCAGAGAAGCCCAGATGAATCCACCGGGTAGATGGCCGTCCGAGGGACAGCACTGGGAGGGACTCCAAAATTGGACTTCTGCCACGCAGTGATCGAGGCCCTGGGCCCTGGCTGATGGGACCCGCACTTCCATAAGCTTCCCAGACGGAACGATGGGGTTTTGAAGATGACAGCACCATAGCCAGGGTGTCCCAAAAAATTCCACCAGCTTGGCACCTTAACAATCTGAGGTTCCAGGTTTTACTCCTTGAGTTCCCTGTTTCTTGAGGATTAGTTCGACAATTATACCCCAAGAAAATTGGGGACTGTCATCCATGAAATGGAATCCCGTTCGCAACCAAAATTTTGCGGAATGGCAGAGGGTTTAGCAGCCACTGCTTAATTGAGATTTCATCTCACGGATGGAACTACCTTTCTATTTCTACAAGAAAGTGGGCCGTCCCTTCAGGAAGTCCGATGCCTGATTCGCCTGGTGTGTAGCTCAGTTGGGACTGACCCAATGGCGGCTGAAGGCAAGTTGTGTGACTTTCCAACCAACAAAGAAAAACAGATATCGTAACCAACAAGCATAAGATTTTGGATGATTTTGGAATATTTTGGAACCGTCAAAAAACGGAATTTTCTACCAACAAAAAAAAGGGATATTGAATCAACAAGAGTGGGGATGTACTCTGCAATCATTTGGTTTGTAAACGTCCCATTTAGAAACGTTGTATTTGCGTTGCTTTCAGACACATTGGTATTTGCGATGTTCAGAAAAAAAACCCAGCCCTATGCCCTATCTGTAACATTCTGTCACATTTTGCACTTTGGTATTGCTACCACAAAAAAACGCTCGCGAATCGACTGCAGTGGTAGTTGGTAGTGGTAGTTTGTCGCTTCCCCTTGCTGTCTTTCGGGGTTTGCGGGTATACGTCGTATATACACATGGAGATATTCAAACTTTTTTCACCAGACTATAAACAGACTATTTTAATCGAATGCGGGGCAACTTCGAACTTGAACATTTCATGAGGTCAACACCACATTTACCATCTGGTTATGACTAACACTTCGCCATGGAAAATCACCACCCATTTTTAAGTTCGGTAAACCCAGGTAAACCCAGTTGTTCACCATCTATTTCGATTAGGCTATAAATGGGCCATCTATACCATGGCTATCATCCCATGTCTGGGGGTCCCAATGGGCCAATGGGGTAAAATTCGCTTCGCCGAGGTAACAACTACTGGGTCGCGGACTTACCAAGTTTGGGGACTGGATCGAGGGGGATGGTCCGTGATATCCAACTTTTCCTTTTGGATGCTTATGTATATATATATATATGTATATATATATATATATGTATAATATAATATATAATATAATATATCAATCTATTGCCTCCTTGGTTAGATGAACATGTCACAATTCTGGGTTTTGGTTGAAACAATTTTACTATTTTTTTAGGGGGCTGCCATGACAAATTCAGGAAGTGTAATATCCAGGTGAGTCTTTCGCTTGTGCCGGCGATTTTTTGCTTGCTTGTGCCGATGCTAGGCGTAGCAGCATGCAGCAGCGGCGAATGTTGCACCACATGCTAGATATGTTCCAAGGGTCATGCTTGCTTATCCATATCACAACATCATGTTCACAAAATTAAGTGAAGTAGCTAGGAAGTGGAATAGTGGATCAAAGTAAGAGTTAAGACAAGCGTGAGACTCCGCCTGTAAAATTTAGGGCATGCGTGAATTTTGCGAGAAGGTCATGCCAAGCGGGCGCATCATCATGTAAACCACATCATGTAAAGTAGTTGGGAAATGACACAGTGGATCAAAGCAAGAGTTAAGAGAAGCGTGAGACTTTGCGGAAAGATTGGAAGTGCAGGCAGAGCATTGAAGGGTCATGCTTTGCTGTCATCTTCATGTCAACCATATTGACATCATGTCAAGTAGTTGTATGTATGAAAGATTGGACGTGCGCGAATAATTATGTAGTGACGAACACTCTTATCTAGGTGTCGCATGTTTGCATGCCCACCACATCATGTCCAGAAGTTGGGACGTGAAACAGCACATCACGGTACATGTCAATGCAAGCGTGTGATTTTGCACGTGAAACAATTGAAGGGACGTGCAGACGATTCGTTGCTTGGCTGTCACATCATCCTGTCAGCCATGTGGTCGCAAGTGGTGGGGCAGTGAAGCGGTAGATCACAGGAGCAAACCCAAAGCGTGCGAGTGTGCGATTGAAACAATGGAAGCGTGGGAGGTGCGGACGAATGGTCATGCGTATGTGTCACACCGTCATGTCAGCCACATCATGTCAAGTATATAGTTGCGCGGCGGAACAGTAGTTCACTGTAACAGTCCGAAAGCGGGCGACATTGCGCGCTAACCAGTGTAACCCCTCCATTATATACATTTCATTTTATCCCATTAATATCCCATTATATAAATTCCAGTAAATCCCATTAGATCCCAAAAATATCCCATTAAACCCCAGCAATATTCATTAATAACCCTTTACATCCCATTGATATCCCGTTATTATCCCATTATATGCATGCCACTACATCCCATTACATCCCATCATACCCCATTATATCCGACTATATCCCATTACATTCCATTAGTATTTCATTAGTATCCCATTATCTCATTAATCTCCCATTAACTGATTGGTGGTTTGGAACATGGCTTTTATTTTTCCATATATTGGGAATAATCATCCCAACTGACTAATATTATCCCATTATCTCATTAATCTCATTAAACTAATGATATCCCATTATTCCATTAGTATTAAGATCCATTTCATCATACCCCATTAATCTCCCATTAATATCGGATTAAGATCCCATTTAGATCTCATTCATTTAGATGGTTAAATCAGGTGAAATCCCAATGAAAACCATCATTTAACCATGATTTAACCATTAAATCCCAGGAAATTATAAATCCCATTATAAATCCCATTATAAATCCCATTAAATCATTTGTTGAAGATCTGTGGGAACTTTTCTGAATCTTGGGGATGCCACCAATTTTCTTGATTTCCAGGCGATGCGCCGCAGCATTTCAAGACCTTCGGTCCTGAAAACACGCTGCCGGTGAAAAAAGTCCACGAGCCAACGCAGGGAATCCCTTCCCTGTTTCTTTCACAAAGCCCATATGAAATTCAACTGGTTTAGTATGGGATTTGTGAACTCAAAAAAACTGATCCAGATGATTTTGACTGACCACGATGGTGAACAGCAGTCATGCTCGTCCGTTACGGTACAAATATCAGTGAATACTTCATAGTTTCACAGTAAACAGTTTTGCAATTTATGCTAAAAGTTCAAACTTATACAGTCAACCATAGGTACGGTATATTCACTATAGTATATGATAATCATTTATGTTGGATTCACCCAATGCCATAAGTATCCATAAACCATCCCGTTATACAAGCAACCATAGAAAGGGGTCATGCTAAACAACATCCCATTTCTAGGGGTATACCCAATCATGTAAACCAGAATTGGGAGTGGTGACTATGGCATTTTCGTGAATCCCACATTTTTATGGATCTGTTCAGTTTGGCGTCCTCTGTTTGGGGTATGTACGGTATAATCCACTGCATCCCATCAGGGTCTGTTTGGGGAACTGCATTTCTTCGGTGCTCAAAGAGCAGCTTTTTCAGCAGGTTTTGTGGTCCTATGCCACTTGAGACGAGCAAAAACTTGACTCAGTCTACTGCAAAACTTAAACATCATTCTGTGGTTTCATCGAACTCAACGTTTGAGAGTACTTGAAAGTGCAGTTCCAGTGAACTAAGTGGATATATTTCACCATACTTATGGGGCCCCACATCCCAGCTTATGAGAGTTTATGACCATAGTTATATCCATTACATAATGACCTCTGGCCACTCACAAGTATGGCGCTTCATTAAATGCCTCACTTCATTTGCACGGGGCTCTCAGCTGTCAAAACCAATCCATGGCGTCCAGCACAACTGAAATTCACCGGACAAGAGTTGGTGCCGTTGCGTCCATTCAGACCTCAATGAGCTCAAACCAAGAAAAGGAAAAAGATGAAACAAAGATGATACCCTATAAATGGAGGGTTTTAGTGGAGGATTTTCCATTGCCATGTTTGATTATCAGTACCTTCACAAACAAGTGCAAAGAACACATGCCTCTGTGTCATATCATTCTGACACTACACATGACCAGTCCAGAAATTGTGGACGTCGAGCGGATTCTAGGTCTTGCATGTTGATTTAGAAAGATCAGCATCACCGAATTGTCATGAATTTTGCTGAAGACATTTCATAAATTGGTCTCAATTCCCAGATCATCAATCTTTTGGTTCATCATGGAGCAGCAGGTGCAGGCTTGGCGCTGTTGTGTCTCCCCGTGGGTGGGCGGGGCGACATGCCCCGACCGGGGGCGCCAGGTGCGTCAAAACAAACGCGCCAGACGCGAGGCTGTCTTGGAGGAGAATTTTTTGGTGAGGTGATGGACGCAGTTCCAGTGAACTGTTCGTGGATATATTTCACCATGCTGATAGTATCTTAAAGTATTATAGGGGCCCCATACCCCAACTTATGGAGTATGGAGAATTTATAACCATGGTTATGCCCATTTTTTTACCTCAACTTTGCCCCCAAGTAGGGAACATGTGTGATTTGAGATTACGTAACCAATAAAAAGCCTGGGATTTGATGGGATGTTCATGAGGATGTAATGTGATATGCAGGCATCTACATCCAATTCGGATGGTTCCAAAAATGAGGTAGACCCATGGCCATCAACTAATGGATTTTTTCTACCAACAAAGAAGGATAGGAAGGAGCATTGCTACTCATTTTCACCTTATTCAAAACCAAAGAGAAGCCTGGTGCGATGTGATCGGATCTAGCCTCAAGCCTGGCTTGCTGGAAGATCCACCAGTTATATATAGATGATTTTCCCAAATATCGATGCCCATCCCATGGCTAGTTCGAAGATTTTCCAGCCACGTGGCGGATGACCCCAAAAAAGGGGTACCATCCCAAGTGTTATCCCATTATCCCAGTTAACTCCCAAGAATATGCCGTTAGATCCCATTCGTTACATCCCATTAATATCCCATTAATATCCCATTAATATCCCATTAATATCCCATTACATGCCATTGATATTCCAATAAATCCCATTGATATACCATTATATACCATTAATATCCCATTACTGTAATATTCCATTACATCCTATTAATATCTCATTGATATCCCATAGTATCCAATTATATACCAATACATCCCATTAATATCCCATTCCATCCCATTATATACCATTATATCCTGTCAATGTACCATTAATTTAGATACCATCAAATCACATTTACTGTAAACCCATTCAAATCCCATTAATTCCCATTACATCCCATTATCATCCCATTCCACCCTATGATATATTACTATATCGATTGAATATCCCATTACATCCCATTATATACCACTATGTCCAACTAATACTCCACTAAAATCCAATCAAATCCCATTAAAATCCAATTAAAGTACCATTAACCATCCAATTTAAATCCCATTAAAGTCCAATTAAAATCTTGTTAAATCCCATTAAATCCAGGTAAAATTCATTAAAATCCCATCAAACTCCAAGTAAATCCAATTAAATCCCAATAAATCCCATTAAATCTCATTCAACTCCTGTTGAAATCCGATGAACCTATGAAGTACCATTAAAATCCAATCAAATCCCATCAAAATCAGATCAAATCCCATCAAAAATACCATCAAACTTGGTTAAAATCAGGATAAATCCAATTAAACACATATATTAAGATCACATTAAAATCTAACTAACATCCAATTAAAATAGAGTTTATTCACATTAACATCCAATTAACGTCGAATTAACATCCAATTAAAATCCAATTAAAATCTAATTAAAATCCAATTGAAATCACATTAAATACCACTAAATTCCAATCAAAATACAATTAAAATATAATTATAATTAAAATCCAATTAAGATACCATTAAATACCATTAAATCCGATTAAATCCAATTAATCTAATTAAACCCAATTAAATCCAATTTAATCGAATTAAATTCCAATAAAAATCCAAGTAACATCACATTGAGATCCCATTAAAATACCATTAAATCCGATCAACATCAGATTAGTTTCAATTAACCTCAATTATTTCATATTAAATCCCATTATATCCCATTAAATCCCATTAAATCCCATTAAATCCCATTAAATCCCATTAAATCCCATTAAATCCCATTAACATCCAATTAAAATCCCATAAAATCCGGTTAACATCCAATTAAATCCTAACTCCCATTAACACCCAATTAAAATCCTTACAAGTCCCATGATTATTTAATCAAATCCCATCAACATCCAATGAAAATCCCATTAAATCACATTAAACGCAAATTACATTACAATTAAACTCCAATTAAAATCACATTAAATCCAGTTACATCTAATCAAAATCCAATTAGCATCATGTTAAATCCAGTTAATTCCTATTAAACTCCAATGAAAAAATCAAATTAAAATCCCATTCAAACCACATGAAAACCAAATAAAGTCAAATTTAAATCCAATCAAAATAACATTAAATCATATTAACATTCAATTAAAATCACATTAAAATCACAATAATATTAAGCTAAAATCCAATTAATATCCAATTGAAATCAATTAAATCTAATTAAATCCAATTAACATATCATTAAACCCACTTAAAATCCAATTAAATCACATCAAAATCACATTAAGGTCCCATTAATTCCCATTAAAATCCCATCAACATCCCGTTCCAATCTAATCAAACATCCCATTACACTACCATTAAATCCTATTAACAGCACATGAAGTCCAACTAAAATCCCATTAAATCCCTTTAAAATCCAATTAACATCACGTTAAACTAACATTAAATCCAATTCAAAGCCTATAAAATTCTAGTAAAGTCCAATTAGACTCTAATTAAAACCGAATTAAAATCCCATTAACATCCTCTTAAATCCATTTAAAATCACACTAAAATCAAATTACAATCCAATTAAATGTAATTAAATCTCATCGAACTCCAATAAAAACCAAATTAAGATATCACTAAATCTCATTAAATCCTATTAAATTCCAATTACAATCAAATTAACATACCATTAAATCAGATTAAATCCCATCAACATCCAATTACAATCCCATTAAATCCCATTAAATCCGATTAAAATCCAATTAAATCCTAAATCCAAAAAAAAAAACAATTAAAATCCGATTAACTCATTAAAATCACATTAAATCCACTTAATTTCCAATTAAAATCCTTTTAGGTCCATTAACATATAATTAAATTCCATTAACATCCAATTAAATCACATTAAAAACACACTACACTACACTTAAACTCAGATAACATCACGCTAAATCCAGTTAAATCTGATTCAAATCCAATTCACATCATGTTAAATCCAGTTAAGTCCTATTAAAATCCAATTGAAATCATATTAACTCCCATTAAAATACTATTAAATCCAATTAACATTGCATTAAAATCAAATTAGAGTCTAATTGAATTCCAATTAGAATGCAATTAAAATCACATTCAAGCCACATGCAAATCCCATGCAAATCACATGATATAAATCCCATCAAATCCCATTGAAATCACACTAAATCATGGTCAAATGATCTTTCAATACCAATTTGGGTGGATTGGTTCCGCCAGGACTCATCTGTGGTGGAGGCCAGCCATAGAAAAACCTGTGATCGCTGCTTTGAACCAAAATCTGCCACTTTGTGATTTTGTGACATGTCCCAATTTTCTGGTATTTCTTCAGGATTTTAAATCAATAGTTTCATATGCTGATAACACAGAAGAACATTTTGAATTGATTGAGTATTATCAATAAGGCTTTAGCAAATCAAACATAACAGTTGAACATCTCCTTTCTCAAAATGGAGTTTTTTTTTTTCCCGTTTGGGAAAACCATCGATGAATGGATCATTCGCACAATTGGATCATCCCAATTGGGGGATTAAAAAACCAATGGGGCACTCCCAGTTTTGTTGAGAAGACTATGTCCCATTTTTCAATGGCCATTTTAGGTGGGAAATGCCCATCATTTTCAGCTGAATGATTGGGTACATCGAACATCTGGAAAATTTTTCGGGGTTTCTTCAATGTCCATTTAGTTCGGCTATATCGGCTATATCCCCCATCAATTCCAGGCTTAGTTCTGGACAATTTTCCCATCGCCTCGCAGGCACCAGCCGCGCAGCCGGCGCCAGCCGTGGCCGCGGCAGCGGCAGAGCAGGCCACATTTTTTCGTCCGAGAAAAGTTGGTGATTTTACCCTCTGGTTATGTCAAAATAGCTATGGAAAATGGTGATTTATAGTGGATTTTCCCATGAATAGCATGGTGATTTTCCATTGCTATGTTAGTTTACCAGAGGGTACATGATTTCTTATGATGTTTTACCCTCTGGTAAACTAACATAGCTGCATAGCTATTGAATGGTGGCCATTTACAGTTGCTTTAGCAATTAATAGCATGGTGATTTTCCATAGTTATGTTAGTTCACCAGAGGGTATCCACCAAAAATGGCAATGGGGATTGAACTATATGATTGTATACTCGAAAAATGAGGAACCTTATGCAGAAGAGTAGGGGTGTATCAGACCCTAAAATAGAATTTTGCCACGTTGGAATGCTCGAAACATAGCAGTGAAAGAACAAGAACAACATTTGGAATAGATGCATCACCTAAATGTCTAGGACGATCGAACATGGCAGCTGACAGGCTTTGGCTCAAAAAGTTGGGGTATGCGCCCCTGAAAAAAACCAAAGAGCGATCTTCTAATTTTTGAAGCAGCACTGACTTGGTTTCCATGTTATCACTTTATATCCTATATAATTCTATATATATATAATACAAAGAAATCATGGTTTGATCAGAACTTCTCTGTGTGCACTTTTTGTTTCCACACATTAAAAAAAAACAGCATTGACCATCGACTACAGACCCGTTTTCTCCATGGCGATAGAACAGCAAACTACACGGATTTTTTCGGACCATTTTCATTCATCTTTCTGGGGGTTACATCTGCATATATAACTATATATATATATATGTACACATACATACAGATGATACATCTATGTACATCATGTATATATATATATCTATACTAATACAGATATCTCTCTCTATATTTCCAAGCTATTTCTGCTGATCCTGGCATCTTGGTCAGGTGGTGGAAGCAGATGTGCCTGACGATGAACCGGGCATCACCAAGGTCGGTGACAAGGGGACATCATTCAACACTGGGATTTAATGGCATATTCAGCAGGATATGTGTATAGATATAGATTAAAAAAACCAGCTACAGCTATATCCCAAAAAATTGGTGTCTCTGAAAATGGTGGTCTGACTCCGAAATTGGAGTCTCCAGAGAAGGACGAAGATGATAAACCATTGGATTTGGGTGTATCCTATTTTCGGACTGGCCGCCATATCAATTGGGTGCAGATCTGGCAGGGGATAACCGTCATCAATTCGATCTTGAAATCCTGGAATCTGGAATTGGTAAATCCCCGCAAATACCATCTGGTTATGACTAACATAGCCATGGGAAATGATGGCCCTAATCGAAATAGATGGTTTACCTATTAATAGCATGGTGATTTTCCATGGCGAACTGTTAGTCATAACCAGATGGTATTTGCGGGGATGGGATTGGGATCCGTAGCAGTTCTGAATCCAAGACCTTTTCGTGTCCAACCATTTCAAGACACAGAAAAAATCCAAGATCTTGGCAACACATTGTAAGTGAACAAGAATTGAATTCCAAGTGGCACAAATGATATCAAATAACTTTCTGAACCCAATAGTGAACCATCTCCAATGTGACCAGTTGTATGGCTGGGATTACCATCCCCGAATCGTAGCTTTATGGTGTTTTCTTTATCTAATTATTCCAATATATTATATTCATTCTTCATCCAGAAATGTGTTACCCCCATGATTTTCACCATCATGGGATCCCTACGGGATGGTTCATTGTTTTAACCAATATTGATCCCATCATGGACCAATATTTATCCAGGATTTACCATGATTTACCGATGTTTTTTTCGAACTGTTACAGCTGATCAGCCGCTGCGCAGTTGGAACGCTTGTGTGCCACTGTGGAGCAAAAGGGCGCCGGCCTCTCGAAGGTGACCTCAGTGGCGTGACCCACTTGGCCGGGATTTGTGGTGATTTCATCTGATTTAGCCATGAAAAATATGGGTTTTAATCAATGAATTACTGTCAGTTTTTTTTTTTTACATACCCCGACATGGCTACTTGGTATACTTTAATGAGGAACATGATGATGAATTCTTGGATGGAATAGCGCATTTTCAGACCAACTCCTTTGAGAAACCAGTGAGTTTTCAATTTCAATTATGAGAAGTTTCCAAGCTTGCATTTCCAAGTGCTCTGTAATGAGGGGCCACTGAGAATTCACAAGAATGAGACAACCCATCCAAGAAATGAGCAGATCGCTTTTCCATAAGTGGGAACCCCCCCAAAATGCAGACAATGACACGGCTGACTGTGGGCCGACTGATCCAACTTGGAACTTGTGACTACTTGTGCTGGCACAGACCGACCTGAACGCTTTGTTGGACCATGGGATTCATTGTGTGGGGGCACTCAATTGCGGCCGGGACCAGAAGCTGCAAAGCCCATGTGTGTGAAAGGAGGTTGCATGTTGGACCGATGGGACATTTGAAGCTCCTTTCATGTACGGAGTGCATGCATAATCTAAAAATAGTAATGCTTATAATATATTGATAATAATATATAAATAATAAATAATGATAAGCATGATAGCAATAATCGAAGGAAGTTTAGAAGTCAAACTTCCGACAATATGGACAGATGAAAAGTAGAGCAGGGAAGAGGCAGAGAGAAGAGAAAGATTAGAAGAAAGAAGAGTAGAAGAGAAAGAGTAAGAAGAAAGAAGATGGAGATGCGCGAAAAGGTAGGAAAGTCGCGAAACACTGTGTTTTTTTCCAATGATTTGGGGCTCCGGAGGGTCGAAAAGTAGGCTCGCTAAAGCGGCGGGTGTGGAGCCAGCTGGCCAGATGAGAGATGAAAAATTGCACGCCGTTGTGGCGCGAAGCACATTTGCAAGTCAAAATGTACAAAACACCTCAGCTCCGGACCACTTTTGGAAGTTGCGATGTCGAAAAAGTGCACGCCGTTGTGGCGCGAAGCACATTTCCAAGTCAAAATGTACAAAGCACACCATTCTCGGACCACTTTTGGAAGTTCAGATGTCGAAAAAGTGCACGCCGTTGTGGCGCGAAGCACATTTCCAAGTCAAAATGTACAAAGCACACCAGGTTCGGACCACTTTTGGAAGTTCAGATGTTGAAAAAGTGCATGCCGTTGTGGCGCGAAGCACATTTCCAAGTCAAAATGTACAAAACACACCAGGTTCGCGCCACTTTTGGAGGTTCGGATGTCGAAAAAGTGCACGCCGTTGTGGCGCGAAGCACATTTCCAAGTCAAAATGTACAAAACAAACCAGGTTCGGACCACTTTTGGAAGTTCAGATGTCGAAAAAGTGCACGCCGTTGTGGCGCGAAGCACATTTCCAAGTCAAAATGTACAAAACACTAGGGGTTCGGACCACTTTTGGAGGTGCAGATATCGCTTCGCTTCGCTTCGGGTCATTACACTACACTATACACTCCACTACACTACAGTACATTAAACTACACTACACTCCACAACACTACAACTACAACTACAGAACTACACAACTACACTCCACTACACTCCACTACATTAAATTACAATACACTACGCCACATTACACTACACTCCGCTACACTACACTACATTACACTACACTATACACTCCACTACACTACACTACATTACACTACACTATACACTCCACACACTACAGTACATTACACTACACTACACTCCACAACACTACAACTACAACTACAGAACTACACAACTACACTCTACTACACTCCACTACACTCCACTACACTAAATTACACTACACTACATTACACTACACTACACTCCACTACACTACATTACACTACACTACACTACTTTCCACTACACTTCACTACATTACACCCCACTACACTCCACTACACTACAACTACAACTACGACTACACATCTACACTCCGCTACACTCCATTACACTAAATCACACTACACTACACAACAGTACACTACACTACATTCCACTACACTCCACTACACTACATTACACTACACTACACTACACTGAATGACACTGCACCACAGATAGACAGGTAGACAGATAGACAGATAGATAGATAGATAGATAGACAGATAGACAGCTAGACAGCTAGACAGATAGACAGATGAAAGAGAGAGAGAGAGATAGATAGATAGATAGATAGATAGATAGATCGATAGATAGATAGATAGATAGATACATAGAAAATAGATAGGTAGGTAGGTAGGTAGATAGTCAGAGAAAGAGAGAGAAAGAGTCAGAGAGATCAAGCACCTTTCAGTCCATCAGTGGCTTCGCTCTGCCATCCCTGATTCACAACAACCAATCTCTCCTATAGGTTTCCTATTTTTGAAACTTCCGCCACCGCCTTGTGCGGTACTACTGGTAGTAATATATATATATATATATGTATGATATCCTGTTTTTTCAACAGCTTTTTTTTTTGCGTGTTGTAGCCGGTTTTCCGGCCTCAAGGCCGTTACGAGTTAGTTACGCCTTCGCCCAGGTTGAGACGATTGCTTTCATGCCACAGCGCAAGCTGCTCCTCGGCTCTGTAAATCATGGTAAATCCTATGGTAAACCATCCCAGAATGGGATTTTGTTAATGGTTAATGATGAATGATGGGTTAAGAATGGTTAACAATGGGACTTTCAGGCCTTTAAACTAGAGGTACTGTAGCATATAAAGCTATAGAAATTGGGGGCATATCCCCTTACATAGGCCTTACATAAGCCTTATATATGGTAGGTACCTCCAATTAAGGTACCTGAAATGGTCATTGATCAAATAGTCTTAATGTATGTATATATGATGCAGCCCTCCCAAGTCCCCCCCCTTCCCCCCCCAATGGGTATGGGTATACAGGAGCTATGTTCCCGGCCCTCCCCTGTGGCTGGGTAGGGGGGTGGGGGGTGGTGGTGGTGGTGGTGGTGGTGGTGGTAGTAGTAGTAGTAGTAGCAGCAGGAGTAGCAGGAGTAGTAGTAGTAGTAGTAGTAGTAGTTAGTCGTAGTGAATACTAGTTAGTAGTAGGACTGGGTATGGATATACAGGAGCTATGTTCCCCGCCCTCCCCTGTGGGTGGGTAGGGGGGTGGGGGGGTTAGTAGTAGTTAGTAGTACGTAGTAGTGAGTAGTAGTTAGTAGTAGGAATGGGTATGGATATACAGGAGCTATGTTCCCCACCCCCCTCTGTGGGTGGGTAGGGGGGTGGGGGGAGTAGTAGTTCGTAGTAGTTAGTAGTAGGAATGGGTATGGATACACAGGAGCTATGTTCCCCGGCCCCCCCCCTCTGAAGGGTGGGTAGGGGGGTGAGGGGGGTTAGTAGTAGTGAGTAGTAGTGAGTAGTAGTTAGTAGTAGTTAGTAGTAGGAATGGGTATGGATATACAGGAGCTATGTTCCCCGCCCCCCCTGTGGTGTGGTGGGGGGCGTGGTACTGCGTACATATATATATGCAAACATGTATGTGTATATATATATGTATATATATATATATGTATGTGTACATATACATATATATATATATATGTGAATATACATGTGAATATATATACATATGTGAATATATGTATATATGTGCGTATATATACATATATGTATATATATATAGGTATATTTAAATACGAATATGTGTGTGTATATATATATATATGTATGAATCTATAACGTGTGTATATATATATACACATATATATATAGGAAGCAAATACATAGCACATGTATATATATATGACTACAGGTAGCACGTAGGTACTTTGAGGGAATAAGTGTGCTACGTAGGTCGTCTAAAAGGTAGCATGTACCTAGTAAATGCGGGGCTGGTAGTCAGAATCGCTGCAAAAACCTAGCAAATACGAGGCTGGACCTCAGAAATGCTGCCAATAGCTTGTAAATAGAAGGGAAGGGGGGGGTGCTACCTGGGGACCCATCACTTTGGGGGGGGACCTCGCGGTCGGAAGGCGGGATCATATATATATATATAGCACACACACACACATATATATATTTATGTATAACACACCTATATATATATATGTATATAACACACATATAAATGTATATATATATATATACATGTATGTAAACCACACACATATGTATATATATATATATACACATATCGAATTGTACCTATATCCACTACCTGAGTACCTCAGGACATAGTACCCACAAGTCTATTTTTAGTGTACACCCGCTAGCCAATTACTTACCTTACTACACTACCTTAGTACAAAATCATCCTATGGTAAACATAGAAAAAGCTATGGAAAATGATAATTTGGTTCGTTGATTTACCTATGAAAAGACGATGTTTACCGGAGGATAGCGATATCCTCGTGACGAGGTGTGAAGTCAAAGGCATCGGGGAACAGAAGGCGTGGCTGCAGCATTTCTTTTCTAGAAAGATATGTTAAGGTTGACATCCAACATCAAGAACTTTGAGTCTACATATTTAATCAAAGTTGATATCCATTATCCACTTTTTGGATTCAACATTGAGCCGTAGCCATATTTTTTCCGCCCAAGAATGGCATTTTGGGCTGGAGCTTCACCCATAGCCCATAGTGTTTGGGTTTTCTAAAAATCACATGGCACCTCCAAAATCCCATGGGTTATCCCCATGGTTCCTATTAAATGATCATTTTATAGGCATTTTACCATAAATTAACCCAATTTTCAGACACACATACAGTTGCTGAGTAGTTTTATATCCCATTACATCCCCATGTTTATCCCATAAAATCAAATTTTTCATGGTTATATCACCATTAAGTCATACATCTACGATCACCGCTGAACTTGGGCCTCCGATTCTGCTCAAGGGGCGCCTGACAGGCAGCCCGCATCTACGCAGCAGCCAAGCAATTGGTGCCGATGCGCATGGCGCGGGAACCTACTCCGCGCTGTGGGGGACAAATATAATTTATAACCTCTCAACATGACATATTTTAAGGGGTCATGGGCATTTTTAAGGGGTGTACGTACAGGGGTATTATACAAAGGGCATATCAGCAACAACATGGGGTATTGATCCAGATGAAACAAGGAAAACAGATATGGGTGAATTATAACGAGCTCACTGCAACATCAGCAGAAAAAATGGTTACTAAGGAGTAAGTATCCCAAAATGGCCGAACTTTTCAGGACCAGTTCGCCCTTGTTCTCGCCCGGGGGTGTGCTGCTGACCGAAGATGGGAGGCCGAACTTTTCAGGTTAGTGACTTATCATAATTTATCCAGCCGGATATGATGATATGTGTCTGAAAATTGGGGCATGCCGGGCATGTGGCATGCCCGCAAAGTTGCATTTTGTTTAGTTGAAATTTTAAAATGATGATAAACAATCAATTTTTTGGTAAAAATTTTCAGACAAACTCAAATTGCAGAAAGCACAAGGGAATTGAACCAAGGAAGAGGTTGCCGTCTGTAGAAGAGGAATATGAATGTTACTAATCAGGTACCCCCAAGAGCGATAACAAAGCTTGGGCCCTAGTTTATCTTATCACTAATGTGATGACTTTCAATGTTCCTAGATATTAATAGTGGTTTTTCACTATTCTCACTCTCCAAGGGCTGAATCAATGTTTTGGGCTTCACATCCAGCCAAATTCTTGGTGAATTCCAATGCTGGCAATTGTACAAACAAAGAAAAATCATCAACCATCCAGGAAATCAGCCACATTTATCAAAGTAAAAACACAAGAAGGGCCCCTTTCTTGGATAGGAAAGTTGGTTCATATCTGCTCAGACGGATCTTTGGTGGATAAGCTTGGATAAACATCATTCCATTTGGTTCTCTTTACAACGTTTTACAACGTCAATTTCTGACCACAACATCTACACAACTGGGGGGGTTGGTCTACCGTGTTTTGTCCCAAGGTGAGTGCTGCCGAGATGCTGCAGTTGCGCAGAAACATGGTGGGGATCTCGGCCTCCGGGGCCGATCCAAGGATTTCCATGGGGCGCATAGCACTTTGTAGCTAGAACTGCTATGGAACATGGCTATTTGTAGTTGATTTACCTACTAAACAGGGTGATTTTCCATAGCCTTTTGTACATTTACCAGAGGGTAAATTCAATATCATTTTCGCCGTTGGCCAAATGAAGTGGGTGCCCATTTAAGGAATCCTTGGGATAGGCCTCGACATCTGAAATCTGGTCCTGTTACTCCTATCTTGTGCAGGACTTAGGTGAAAAATATGGGCAGAACCATGGGAATTAAAGCCCCCAGAAATGTTTGTTGGATATGGGCCCCCCAAAAAACGAGGGTGAAATCTATGTCCAGCCACAGGTACAAATCACCACGGGCTCTGCCAAGTTGGATCACTTGCTGAAGGGCGGGGTAGAGAAGCTCCGGCTCAGTTGGGGTGGGTGTTGGGGAAAGCTGTGAAGATACCCTCTGGTAAACTAACAGAGCTATGGAAAATCACAATTTTTTATAGGTAAATCAATTATAAATGGGGAGTTTAAGCTGTACTTAGTGTACTTTTTGTACTTGGAAATGGGCTTTGTTTTGGAGAGTGGGAATGTTGGAAATGGACTTTTTTGATCATTCTTTGGATGATTCTGATTCTGTTGGTGTCTAAGATTGAAGGATGCATTCTGGTAATCAAACATAGCTTGCTGAAAACTCGACCATCTTTGTCCATGATTTTCCGAGCTATAAACACCACTTCTCTCTCTCTCTCTATATATATATAATCCTCCTTGGAAAAATCTCTATAAAATAGATCACCTGGGGGTACGATTCTATAGAGATGAGGCTGGTAGGCCAGTGTTTACTATAGAATGGTACCTGGATTGCGCCCATCCAGTTTACATACCCAAAAGTGACACCAAACTTGAGGCATTGCAAACCCAGTTTTCTATTCTATAGGGGGTCTTTTTCCTAATCACTTGGACTCAGGTTTTCATTTTATAGTGGATTATCTGTTAGAAGCAGTGGCCAGTATGATGCTGGGTTTTCATTTTATAGGAGTGGCAGGGGGCTGTTGGTTTTCTTGGGTTTCTATTCTATATAGGGAAAATCACCCCCCTTAGTCCTGGGTTTGCGTTTTAGTCCCTATAGAATGGAACCCCCAGGTTTGGTTCGAATTCCAACAGGGATTATATATATATATATATTGACCCAGGATTTTCGATTGCCACACTTAATTGCCGGAGGGTAATATCTCAATGATTATCCCATTCTATCCCCGTCTCATTGATCTTCCTATCATGGCTATATTGTTATATTCCCATGGATTTCCCATGATATTCCCATTATCATCCCATTATGTACCATTCAGATTCCACTAAATCCCATTAACGATTATTCATACATTATCCCATTCGCCATTTAATCATATTCAATCCACATATTACCGTTTGATTTCCCACCGTTGCGAGCAATATGCCGTGAAATCCCGTTCAATGACGATTTTATATCCCATTGAAATTCAATTATATAAATGGATGGCAATTTTTTTTGGTTTTCCAGCCTGGCTTTGTGGCTTTTGTGGCTTTTCTGGCTTTTGTGGCTTTTGTGGGTGTGTGGCTCTTGTGGCTTTACCATGCTTTACTTATCTATCTATCTATCTATCTAATCTAACCTAATCTAACCTAACCTAATCTAACCTAATCTAACCTAATCTTATCTAATCTAATCTTATCTATCTTATATCTAATCTATCTAAGCTTCCTAATCTATCTAAACTATCTATCTAATCTATCCAATCTAGCTAATCTATCCTAATCTAATCTACCTAATCTATCTAATCTATCTATTCTATCTAATCTATCTGATCTATCTAATCAATCTAATCAATCTCATCAATCTAATCTATCTAATCTATCTAATTTATCTAGTCTATCTAATTTATCTATTCTATCTAATCTATCTACTCTATCTCATCTATCTGATCTATCTAATCTATCTAATCCATCTAATCTATCTAATCTATCTAATATATCTAATCTATCTAATCTATCTATTTACTCTATTCTATCTTTTCTATCTAATCTAGCTAATCTATCTATCTATCTATCTATCTATCTATCTATCTATCTATTCTATCTATTTAGTCTATTTAATCTATTCTATCGATTCATCAATCTATCAGTCTATCAGTCTATCAATCTATCAATCTATCAATTTATCTGCCTATCTGTCTATCCATCTACCCACCTATCCATCTATCCATCTATCCATCTATCTATCTACCTATCTACCTATCTACCTAATCTATCTATCTATCTATCTATCCATCTATCCATCTATCCATCTATCCATCTATCCATCTATCCATCTATCCATCTATCCATCTATCCATCTATCCATCTATCCATCTATCCATCTATCGATCTATCTATCGATCTATCTATGGATCTATCTATCTATCTATCTACCTATCTATCTATCAATCTATCTATCTATCTATCTATCTTTCAATCTATCAAACTATCTATCAATCTATCAATCTATCAATCTATCAATCTAATCTAACCTAATCTAATCTAATCTAATCTAAATCTAATCTAAATCTAAATTTAATCTAATCTAATCAAATCTAATCTAATCAAACCAAATCAAATCTAACCTATCTAATCTATCTAATCTATCTAATCTATCGATCTAATCTATCGATCTATCCACCGATCTATCCATCCATCCATCTATTGATCTACCTATCTATCTATCTACCTACCTATCTATCTATCTGTCTATCTGTCTGTATGTCTGTCTATCTATCTTTATATACATACACACCTTGTATCCCTACATGTACCTTAATCCAACCCGCAACAGACTTTAAATAGACCCTGAACCAGCCCTAAACCAACCCTAAATAAACCCTAAACCAACCCTAAATAAACCCGAAACCAACACTGAATAAACCTTAAACCAACCCCAAACCAACCCTAAACCAACCCTAAATAAACACTAAACCAACCCTAAATAAACCATAAACCAACCCTAAATAAACCCTAAATAAACCCTAAGCCAACCCTAAATAAATCAAAGCCAACCCTAAATAACCCTAAATAAACCCTAAACCAACCCTAAATAATCCCTAAACCAACCCTAAATAACCCTAAATAAACCCTAAACCAACCCTAAATAAACCCTAAACCATCCCTAAATAACTCTGGATAAACCCTAAACCAACACTAAATAAGCCTTAAACCAACCCTAAACCAATCCTAAATGACCCTAAACCAACCTAAACCAACCCTACATAAACCCTAAACCAACCAACACTATGCCACTATTTAGACCCAACACAGTTGTGCTTAAACAATCGATGAACAGTGCAAATGGCAAATTTTAGCTCCAAAATTCAGCAAAGTAGAGGTTTTTGCTCCAAAATGTAGCAAATAGCAAGGAAAAGTGCCCCAGACTGAAAAACAACACAAATTCAAAAAAAAAAACCAAAAGAAAAATCGCAAAAAAAATCTGCGCCCTATATAAATTCCGTTATACCCCATTAAATCCCAGTAAATCATGGTTTTCTGGTGATATTCCCAGTCTATTCCCAATGTATTCCCCATTCGATGGACGTTTTAAAAAGTGCTGTGCCAGCCTGCGAAATGACAGGACCGGGCAGATTACGGAGGCCGTTGGCGGATGAAACATCGATTTAACATGGAATGATTTATATAGATATTTATATACTGATATTTTAATAAAATCTATAAACTATGAACATACATGATATTTTTGAGACTGACATAGATTGAAATAAATTGACGATTTTTTCATTTTTTCTTCCAGAAAAAGATATGGAACATGGTTTGGATATTTCCTAACTTCAACGTTTGCAATGCAGGTCATCTTTGGCCCAGCTCCGCAGGTCTTTGGAGAGTTTCGCTGTGGCAAGACGCAGCTCTGTATGGTGCCCATGGATCATCGTAATGATCTACGGAGGTGTCCTGAATTGGGGGTACCCCCATGACGTATAGTTACCCTCTGGTTATTTAACATAGCCATGGAAAATGGCCCATTTATAGATGGTTTACCTATTAAAAATGGTGATTTTCCATAGTTATGCTAGTTTACCAGAGGGTATATCCATTCATCTGGGTAAATTATAACGACCTCACTGTTCTCCCGAAGCCTGGAATCATGCTTAGGATTCGGGGAATCATCCCAAAATGGCCTTATTTCAGGTTAGTGAAATATTATAATTTACCCAGATTCATAAGGCCTTGCACATTTTTTGGTTGAGAAGAAGCTTTTCATTCCTTTTCCATCTTTTTCCTATGATTTTCCTATTCTGGGTATTAGAATGGCCTTTCTATATATTGGTCAACCCCCACAAAAAAGGTAGTGCCCCTGTGGGTTTGGCCATTGGTGGCCTCTGAGGCCATACCCTCTGCGTAGCTTGCCAGCTACCCATCAGCAAGGGAGGTGGTGAAAGTAAGGCCGAGTCGCGGAGCAGTGGAGATAGTTCCCAGTGATCCGAGAAGTTGTGTAAAACATTTGCAGTGTGCAAAACACCTGTTTTTTTTTTTGCGGAAAAATAAGACATACATACACATACCCTTTTATACATTGGGTTTGATATGGTGTGATGATCATTTTCCCATGATTCATGATGGGATTCCCGCGCTGAAGCGAACAGTATTTCATTCAATGACGACATCTCGGGTTACTTCAGCTGCTTTGCGGCTTTGACAATTGAAGATGGCACCAAGGGTTTTTGTTGGTTCACCCAATTATGAGCTATATGGCTGTGTCTAAAAATGGGGTATACCATTGAACGAATAATTTGTTATAGGGCCAAATAGGGAAAATATCATTTGGTCAGGAAAAACCTAGCGTTTACGTGTTCCAAATTCATGAATGCAGGAGGCACAGGAGGTATGAAGGAACAGTAAACAGGGAAGATGAATGGCACATCATGAAAGATAACTTGAGCATGAATCGAAGATAGTGACATAGTTGAGCTATTATCTGATATGATATATGTATTCATATATCCCCCAAAGTTCGAACTGGAGTTTTTCTAGAACTTTGGCGCCTTTTTCTACCAAACATGGATGGTGCTTTCATGATCGATTTCGATCCAGGCCTTGTACATCGATACAGAAGTTCGCGGCCTTGGCAGGACTTTTTGTCACCTTGGAGCCCTACCAACCGAAATCAATGGATTAAAAGACACACAAAACATCCTATTTACATTCATATATACACATATAGACACATATATAGACATATATATATATATATATACATATTATATCTGGGTAAATTATAACGACCTCACTGCGACCTCACTGGAATCATGGTTTATAAGGGGAATCATCCCCAAATGGCCTTAATTCAGGTTAGTGAAATATTGTAATTTACCCAGATATATTTACTGTATACCTACACATATCCTATTTTTACTGGGCTTCGGAACCGAAAAAATGGTGTCCCGGCCAAAAAGCACTGGGGCGAAGGTGTTTGTCAACTCATCAGCTCAGAGTGCAATACCAGGGCCATAGAGCCATGCAAAACAGGTTGGTAATGACCATGGTAAAGTGTTGGTCATTGCCGGTACGGTAAGCCTAATTTAGAAGAATATACCATATTATTAATGTTCTCATATTTTTTCATCAGAGCATAAGTTTTTTTTTTTGAATCGTGTTTTCACCGAAATAGAACTTTCTAAGTTTCATACTGTTGGTCATATTCCCATTATACTCATTATATCCCCATTGTATCCCTAGTTCTAGAGCTTAGATCCCCGTTTTGGCTGAGGGCACCTTTCGACCAGAGCGACTGGCCGACATTGCACGGCGCTATGGGCTGAATGAAGAGGCGCTGGAAGAGGTGACTGAAATCAGGTTCTGTAACAACCATGATGACATAAGCAGAGCAGAAACATGTGTCAATAACCATGTGAGAATATGATAGAATATGTATTTATAGCATGCTATAGCGTATATATAGCAAGCAGGAAGGAAAAACTGCATATAATATAGTATAGCATATACAGAAGCACAGCTGCATCTATATGATGAGAGCTATACATGTTCCGGTGAGAAATTGCTACTGTAGAGGGTTGTGATCAGAGAGTTACTGGACCATCTGGGGAGCATCCGCTGGGGCAATGACTGGGGATTACTTTACATCATCCCATTTCTAGGAAAATGCCTAATTTCATAACCTCAAACTTGGGAATGGTGACTATGGCGGTTTACCAAACTAACGACGTGAAGACAAAACATGGGAATATCATCATGATGGGATACTTCGCAGTATCTTGTATACAGTCCTGGAGTCAGCCAGCCGGGCTGCGTGCGCCGCCAGCACTTGACTTTCACACAGGACGTCTTGGAAAACGTGACGTACGCTCGCGCCTACAATGCAGAGCACCAGGAGAGTGGGTGAATATGTTGTGGCGAAGAGATTCTCCGTGTTGGAGAATGATACCCTCAGATAAACATAGAAAAAGATGTGGAAAACCCATGGTGCAAGCCTCCGAAAATGATCTACAAAGGGTTGATTTTCCAAATCTATGTTGGTTTATCCTAAGGTATAATGGGAGAATGGTCAACGTTAGTAAAGTAGTGCCATAAACCACCCATGTGTTGATGGCTGGAATTCCAACCATTTATGGTAAAATTGGGGATGGTTTACTATTGCTTTACAAACAAATCAAACACATACGTACATTTGTTTGGTTGATACAGTGCATATTTTGTCATTTTTATCAAATATCAAGTTTAACATCAAAGTTTATGGAGGTAAGGCTAAGGTCACATATTTTCACTGAACAATATGGAACATATTATAGACTTTTCGAATCTCCATGCGCTTTGATCGTCCTGGCAGGATCGGCTGTTGGCGGAGGCAGCAAGCGTCTTCTGTGAATCTCGCTATGTCTTGGCCCCAGCTCCAAATCTCCCCAGATCATCAGATATCAGTAACAACAAAAAGCCTGATTTTTTCTGGCATCAGAAGCAATAGATCCAATCGTCATCCAGGTTTTTTTTGTGCGCGAGGCTGTGCTGATTGTTGACAGCGCCACGGGTCTCTTCCGAACCGACTACAGTGGCAGGCACAGTTGAAGGGATGATTTTTCAGGGTGGTGCATCCCAATGAGGCGAGCTGTTTTCTTTTGCAAGCTATGTCATCTATGTATCACTGGGATATATCGGTATATCCCACCAATCTAACTGGCTTATTTCACGTGGTAAAGCTAGCCACGTACTAAATTGCGAGGATGGCGGCGGTGATGTGGGCGACTTCCGCCACTTTCCTGTCATCATCACAGTTATCATCATACATACCTTCTAGGATCCCTCTGGTAATTTAACATGACTATTGAACATGGCCATTTATAGTTGATTTACTTATTAGACATGGTGATTTTCCATAGCTTTTTGTAGGTTTACCAGAGGGTAAGATGTACTTTCGGGTCATCTTCACCATAGCATTTTGGTCATGTGCCAAGAGTGGCGCGCCAAAGGGCAATCCTTGGCATGGCGCACCCCATGGTTGTCAAGCAAAACAGATTCCAGTCCTACTTACAATTATAATTGTATAATGTGGGAAACCCAATAAGACACCTACCTTTTTTAGGGGATGGTTTATAGCACACATGTATGATGATTTTAGGGATGGTGACTATGACAATGGGTTTACCACATTATACGATTATATGATTATATCTATCATACATATATTAATAACTATATTAATATATTAATATATTGATATATATATATATATATATATAAATGAATAAATGAAAAGTATTGTCGCCCGAAAGTCGCTAACATGGAATTTTCAAGAAAAACGCCTGAAAAACCACTTGGGTTCCAGGTTAACCTTCAAATCACCCTTCAAGGTTGCAGATCGCTTTGTGATAACTTGTTCAAATTCCATGTTGGCTGTTTCAGGGTGCAGTTTGGGTTCAGTTTGGGCCTGCATTGGGTTCCATGTCAGTTTTTGAGCGATTTTATTGAAAAAGCTAGTTGCATGATTTCCTGGGGAATATATATATATATATAAACAAAACACACATACACACACATATATTATTATTATTACTATTATTATTACTATTATTATTATTATCACTATTATTATTATTATTGTTATTATTATTATCACTATTATTATTATAATATAAATATCATATGTACTCGAAGCCTCTGTTGGATTTACGGCCATGCCATGATGGCCATGATGGCCTGGTTATGGTAGAAAAGTGGATGGTTTGCTGCAATGGTCGAAGACAGAATTTGAAGAACTCTTGAATATGCCTAGGTTTTTTAATCACCAAACCTTGCAGTAGAACTTGCAGACATGTTGACCAGGGACAATATTCCCATTTTTCAGGCCGTTTGTCAGTGACTGAAGTGACCGCCCGACGGGTTCGTCCTTTGCCGAACATCGACAGACAGTAGTGCCATGGCTGGTTTCCGCTACCACAAAACCTTCATTGACGTTGTTCCATCCACTCCGGCATCGGTCAAGCGAGCAGAGAGCAGTCCACCAGTATTGACCCCTGACAAAAACGATGTATCTGGAACCCGAAACAACCATAAGTAACTAAGATAAGTCGTTTCCCTATGGTAGTGAAGAATCCCTACATAACAAATGGTTGTTTGGGGAAACAACCATTTGAATTTCTGGTTGTTTGGGGATCCAGGTAGCAATTGACATAGTGTTTTGTGGGAGAATTATGTTCAGAGAGGGTTCCATCAATGTCATGGAAATCAAAGCAGAACAGATGATAACAGCTGTTTCTTTGAAGTACCAGATGTTGGGATCTAATAGGGACCCAATAGGGACTTGATATCCATATTATAGCATCCATATATCAGGGGGATATATTATGGCATATATTGTGTGTTGTATGTCGTGATAGTTTTTCCCCAAACAGTGTGTCTACACTGAGGGGTTCTGACGGTAAGAGTTAAGGCCGGGGTTAGATCAGGGTACGCTTTCTAGCCCCCGGCATTTTTGCTGTAAGTAAATTCTCGCATACAGTGTGCTTGTGAGATGTCCATATGCACTTCGACTGCGCAGGCTCGCGCAAAGTGCGTGGCTGGCTTTGCTCTGTTCCGTTTCTCTCGTGTTTACTAGCGCACCGTGCTCGTTTTTTTAGCTATGTCCATTTCGTGTCGCAGGCGTGGGACATCCGGTGCATTTTGAGGTCTGGACGTGGTTTTGCGTGACAGTTGCAAGACATCGCACATTTTTTTACCGGCGGCTTAGCTGGCGTGGCACTTTTTGCACGTTGCTAAATCGTTGGCAGGCGTGGCTTGATTTTGGACATGATGATGATTCTGTGCGGCAGGCTGAAAGTGGCTGAGACCTCGGTCAAACGACGTTTTTGCCTTTTTCAACGTTCATTTTTCGTGGTGCATGCATTGTTTTGCGTAAATCTAACATGTGATCACGCAACCCCCTCGTGACTTTGTGCGTGTCGGATCACTCTCGTTGTGGCGCGGTGCGAATTTTGCTATCGCTCGCGGCACAACCCTTGATGCGAATTGGATCGCTCTCGCTGATTTTGACATGGCTCGTGCAACACTATCAGCACTTGGTGGGTGTTGGATCGCTCTCGCTGTGGTGCAGTGCGAATTTTGACATGGCTCGCGCAACCCTCTCGTGACTTTGTGCGTGTCGGATCGCCCTCGTTGTGGCGCGGTTCTGATTTTTTAGTTGATTTTCTTATGTCTTGGTACAGAGATTTATAAGGTCTCTGGAAGGTCCTTCTATGAAGATCTTGCAAGAGTTTCAAGATGCAGAAGTGTAGTCTCAGAGGTCCGTAATATAATAGGAAGATCTAGACCAAGGTCTTGTAGAGGTCTTTGTGAGATGCTGTGAAGATCCTGATGAACTCCTGTAAGAGGTCCTTGCATGATCTTGTCTCTAAGAGGTGCTTGCATGATCTTGCACAGGTCCTTTTGAGAAGCTCTTGTTCCTGGTGAAGTCCTCTCTAAGAGGTCCTTGCATGATCCTGTACAGGTCCTTAACAGAAGATCTTGTGGAGATCCTGGTGAGATGAAGATCTTGCAGATGCCATGTCGTAGAGGTGCTTGTATGAAAGCTCTTGTGAGAGGCTCTTGGAAGGCTCTTGTATCAAGATCTTCTAAGATCCTCTCCGGCAGCAGAAGGTCCTTTTATGACGATCTTGTGAGATTCTCCTAGGAGTCCTGGCATGAAGATCCTGGTCAAGGTCTTTTACAATTCCTTGTGGGAAGACCTTGTGGAGATCCTGGTGAAATCCTCTAAGTGCATGATCTTGTGCAGGTCCTTGCGAGAAGGTCTCGTGGAGATCCTAGTGAAATGCTGTCACAGGCATGATCTTGCACAGGTCCTTGTGAGAAAATCTTGAAGAGGTCCTGGCAAAATACTCTAGGTGTCCTTGCATGATCTCGTGCAGGTCCTTGTGGGAAGATCTTGTGGAGATCCTGCTGAAATTCTCCTCAGCAGGTCCTTGCATTAAGATCTTGAAGCTGCCCTGCGTTGGTGCTTGTGTGAAAGTTTTTCTGGGATGTTGATAGGATATTTTTGTATGAAGATTTTTATAGATCCTCTATATAGAAGGTCTTTGCTTGACGATCTTTTGAAATTCTCTTAGATGCCTTGGTATGAGGTTCTGGTATGCTTCTTGTGCCAAGACAAGTTCATGCTGCTGCAGCTAGGTCAATGTCTGGCCGTCCAGCCTGATCTGTTACTGTTATGAAGAACCGAGCCAGCTACACATTGGAAATCTTTAAAATATTTATTTTTTCATTTTTTAAAATCATTTTGGTTATCATTGCATTCATCATTTTTTTTATCATCTTCATTTTTTATATCATTTTTTTTTATCATTTTTTTATCATTTTTTTTTCATTTTTTTTCATTTTTTTTTCATTTTTTTTATCATTTTTTTAAAATCATTTTTTATCATTTTTGCTTCCAGTGGTGCAAAAATTTTCCAAGAAATGGAAAATTACAATTTTCCTCGAGTTTTTTTCATTTTTTTATCATTTTTTTATCATTGTTTAATCATGTTTTTTATCATTTTTGCTTCCAGTGGTGGAATTGATGAAAAATGATAAAAAGTGATGAAAAATGATAAAAAAATGAAAAACATGATAAAAAATGAAAAAAAATGAAAAAAAAAAACTCGAGGAAAATTGCAATTTTCCAAAAAATGAAAAATTGCAATTTTCCTCGTTTTTTTCATTGTTTTTTCATTGTTTTTTCATTTTTTTTTCATTTTTTTTCATTTTTTTAAAATCATTTTTCATCATTTTTGCTTCCAGTGGTGCAAAAATTTTGCAAGAAATGGAAAATTACAATTTTCCTCGAGTTTTTTTCATTTTTTTATCATTTTTTTAAAATTTTTGCTTCCAGTGGTGGAATTGATGAAAAATGATAAAAAATGATGAAAAATGATAAAAAAATGATAAAAAAATGAAACAAATGGAAAAAAATGAAAAAAAATGAAAAAAACTCGAGGAAAATTGCAATTTTCCAAAAAATGAAAAATTGCAATTTTCCTCGTTTTTTTCATTTTTTTTCATTTTTTTTTCATTTTTTTTATCATTTTTTTAAAATCATTTTTTATCATTTTTGCTTCCAGTGGTGCAAAAATTTTCCAAGAAATGGAAAATTACAATTTTCCTCGAGTTTTTTTCATTTTTTAATCATTTTTTTTATCATTGTTTAATCATGTTTTTTATCATTTTTGCTTCCAGTGGTGGAATTGATGAAAAATGATAAAAAGTGATGAATAATGATAAAAAAATGAAAAACATGAAAAAAAAAACTCGAGGAAAATTGCAATTTTCCTCGAGTTTTTTTCATTTTTTTTCATGTTTTTATCATTTTTTTTATCATTTTTTTCATTTTTTTATCATTTTTGCTTCCAGTGGTGGAATTGATGCAAAATGTTAAAAAATGATGAAAAATGTTTAAAAAAATGAAAAAAATGAAAAAAAAAAGGATAAAAAAGTGAAAAAAACCCGAGGAAAATTGTAATTTTCCATTTCTTGGAAAATTTTTGCACCACTGGAAGCAAAAATGATGAAAAATGATGAAAAAATGATT